AAGGCTGTGCTCTGAGGTCATCGCTTGAACTGGGCAAGGCTGTGCTTTGTGGTCCTCATCACCTGAACAGGGCAAGGCTGTCCTCTGAGGTCCTCATCACCTGAACAAGACAAAGCTGTCCTCTGTAGTCCTCATCACCTGAATGACACAGCAGAGCCACAGTTCACACATCTTCGCTGCACAAGTTTCCATAAAGGGTTAGAAATAGAGACTGCATCTGCACTGTGTCTAGAACACATCCATTCACAGTGATATAGACCAAAGAGTCCAGGGCTTCCAGGACAGGGAGCAAAATAGCACAGGAGCCGTGAGCAGAGAACATGCTTGTCATATGCAGGGCACCATGCTGAGGAGTCCGCAAAGAGCTGCATGGTACATGGGGTCCAGGAAGGGGTGAAGGGCTTGTAGGGATCCTGCATCCATGCCCTGAGGGACCATCGGGGCACCCAGAAGACAAAGTCCACCCGAGGACACAGGAGTGCACTCCAAGGATGCCACATGTACCTTTCATCTGCCCGAGCCAGGCCCTTCTTGTATCTAGGTCCACTGCAACCTATAGGATAGGGCAGCACTGGCAGCACCTGTTCCCTGAACAAAGATCCCCCAGAGAACACGAGGATCCACAAAGTGAGAAGTCCCTCATCCCTGGGTCCCTCATCTGGGTCCTAGGGTAGCAAGGGTTTCCTGAGGGACTGCGGGAGGGGAACATTTGTCCTCAGACAGGTGGGTCTTGAGCTAGGTGACAGTTAAAGACCCAGATGCCACCTCTGCTACCTGCTATCTGCTTGGGTGTGGCCTTGCAACAGCAAGCAGAAATGCCAAATGACACCAAGGATCCAAAGGCAGATTCATTTATGTTGGTGGGTGCTGATCAGAATCACTCCCAGCATATCAGGCTCTGATCTCTGGTGGCCTAGAACTTATATGAGTTAAGCAAGCAGGAAGCGCAGAGGCAGAAGGCTTGTCAGTTGGGGATGGGTCTCTACGATGCGCGTCCTAGTGACCAGCCGTGCCTCACAGTGCCCAGCTATTTCTAAGAGATCAGAAGCCATGGGAACTGGGACAGGAACTGTTCCTGGGCAACTAACAAGCTGAAGTATACCAGCTGGGGGAGCAGGGAGCATTTTCTGTTATAGCCTGAAGGTCAGAAACAGTGACTTTGGGGGACAACGACTGAGCCCTTGGAAGAGGCGACTCACTGCTAGGTTGTCACAATCTATAGAACAAAGGATCATTTGGAAGCCTCTGTCCTTAATAAGTGACATGTATATGCCATACATTGGGCCTTGAAGGTACAGGAATTCCAAGAAAAATATATGTATCTATGCAGATAGCCTGTGGGGGTTTTTTGTTTTGTTTTGTTTTGTTTGTTTTGAATGTGTGATAAAGACTTAATGAATGACCTGTGTTTCGCTCATGTCCCAAAACTTGCTAATCTGGGCATACAAAACACAGTCCCTTCCTGTCTCTCAGTGGGGATGGCAGAAGGGAAATGATGTGGGGTCTGCTGAAGTCCACAATGTCTCTGACCAGTTCGCTAAAGAATCAGCTTTTCTTGTTAATAGGAATGAGGTCATAATCATCCAGCACAGCAATAAGATTTGAACATAAATTTGAGACTTTAAGAAGCTTCTAGTGAGCTTTAGATGTTGGAAGTGAAAAGTTGCCTTAAAACTGGAAAATCATTTTGAAATAATGTTCCCTTATATGCCAGTGATTGTATATGTGCCAATAAAACTCACCAAAAAGCTGAATCAGAACTTAGTACAATAAGACAAACTGTCTAAAACAAAAAGATAGAACTCATGGACTGTGCAGGCCACTGTAGGCAAGCATCCATTTCGCCTCTGATGTGTTTGCTTAACCAAAACACATGACAACTCCCTCTCCCTGCTCACCATGCCAACTCAGCCTGGCAGAGTGTGGGGCCAGCTACTGTTTCTGCTGCAAACAAAGCAGTGGTCTTCAAACTAAGCTATGCAAAGCCCCAGGAGTGTGGCACCGATGTTGGTAAGGAATCCTGCAGGTAAGCTGTTTGTCTACACCTTGACCAATATCTTGGAGATGTGCTCTTCCCAGCATCCACTCACCTTTGCAAGAAGGACAACCTTTGCTCAGGAAGCCCATGATGGGGCCAAAGACCTGCAAGGAGACAAAACTGGGATGTAGGCAGTGCTATGCAACTACTCGAATCCTCCTCTCCCTGGCTTTCATTAGCTAAAAATAGAAGCACCTGCAAACAGCAAGGAAGTGCTGGCTAGTGACAATAATAATCAGAGGAGTGTAACAAGAATGTTTCCCAACCGCGGCTAGCCTCAGAGCACACTGGCTGAAACCTGAGGACCAACGTGTTGTGTGGTTCCTTCTAAACTGCTTCTGTTACAAATGTCATTTGAAGCAGTGTCTCGTGTAATGTTATGGACTGTCTTCTACACTCCAATGGCACTCACCTTTGTCTTATTTCGTTCCATAAAATATAATAATAATTCATCTACTGTTAACAAAAAATTATTCCTTACATGCTGAACCAAACAGATATTTTTATTTTCTCTTATGGATATTTTTATCATATGTGGCATTAACAGAATTATTTAAGTAGCCACCGTGGCTCTTTACTACAAAAGTTAGTGACCATACCCAGTTCAGCTCACCCCACCTGCACTGAGTGTCCTGTCTTAATCACACCTCCGTTACTTCAGAAGCGTGTTGGATTTTAACTGTCACACTGTGTTGTCACAGATGGAGTAATTAAAAGTGATATGTATGTTAATTCATATTTAGATAAGTCATTATAAGAGCAAGCGCATTATCTATACTTTAACCTTCATTAACATTATTTAATGTTAGTAATATATTTTAGGTGTATTCATAATCTCTAATGATTTCAATAAGGGTTTTGAATGTTTATTAGTGTATTTATTAGAACTGAAAAATGAAGTCAGATTTTATGATTGAAAATTACTCTGATTAGGTTAATTGATTTTAGTCTATAGCAGAGATTTGCAAAAATTAAATAAGCTAAATCCACAGATTTTTTATTTTGTTATTAACATACATACATGACAGGGGCTCGGGAGGTAGCTCAGTAGAATAAGCGCTTGCCTGGTAAGCACAAGGGCCTAAGTTCAATCCCTGGTTCCGCCAAAAAAATAATAATAATAATAAAATACACGACAATATCAAAGTGTTTAAAATTATACAGAGTTATAATAACAGAGTTATATTAAAGTTTTTTTAAATGTCTTGTCTTCCTGAACTTCTCTGAAAATACTAGGTTAAATAGGTGCTTGTGGAGCCGCGATGGGGAGTGGAGCTCAGAGAGCACCCGGAGGACGTGTGAGAGGATCAGCCAGGCCCACGCTTACTTGGCTCATGGCTTCACAGGTTTCAGCCATGGTCAGCTCGGTCGAAGGCAGAGACATCACGGTGGAGGGCGTAGCTGAGCCAAGCTGCTCACACAGAGGCAACCCCGGAAGAAGCAGAGAGAAAAAAGATTGTGGTCCCCAGAGTCATGTTTCTATGACCCATCCAGAGACAGCCGGGTGTGCTTTACTAACCCCTCCAGACTAGCAACTTGACAGTGTAGATGAACCCTCCCCAGGAGGCCCCAGGTGTGGGGGTCAGAACATGAGAAGGGGCTCCTCTCCTGCCACTATCCTGCCAGAAACTGTAAGTTCATGCTGAGTAACTTGAGAAAAATGAAGCTCAAGTCACCCGTGGAAGGTAAGAAGCATGCAGAGTGAGGCAAGACCAGCCTTGCCTGCAGAATGGAGAGGGGACCTGGCGCCTTGCAGGTCTCAATAAGTACGGACTAGAGAAATGAAATTTCTATGCAAAATAACATTTTCTCCTTACAGAGATTTTAGGACCCATGTGGGCCTCATTTTTCCTACTTTTTAATCTCTCAGTTTTGAGACAAACTCAACTATTTTTGAGAAGTACTCTGTATTCTTCGTCAACTCTTACTCCACTAGTCTGAAAAATACTCTTCAAAATAAATCTGTGGCAGTTGTACAATAAGATTGCATGTCTATGAATGTCACTTGAATTGTTTGTGTGTGTTTGCTTTTGTTCTTGCAGTGCTAGAGATGGGACCCAGAGCCTCAGGTATGCCAAGCAAGGGTTCAGCCACTAGCTGCAGCCCTTGGATTGTGGGAGTTTTTTTTTGTTTGTTTTTGTTTTCATTTTGACTGGATTGTGTTTTAAATTTTTTTTTTTTTTTTTTTTTTTTTTTTTGTGACAGAGTCTGTCTATGTGGCCCAGGCCGGCCTTAAGCTCCTAGGCTCAAGCAATCCTACCTCTGCCTCCTGAGTGGAAGCTGGCTCTGGATCGTATTTTCTGTGTCACCTCTCACATCGAATTCCCCATAGACCTTTTAGGGTTCATCAGCTCACTCGCGCTCTGGGTTAACACATGGTATAAGCTCCTCGGCACTCATGTGGAAGACCCTGGGAGGACAGCCAGCCTCGGTCTCAACCTGTGACTCAGGGTGCCAGGTCCCCTCTCCATCCTGCAGGCAAGCTGGCCTTGCCTCACTCTGCATGAATCTTAAATTCCACAGGTGACTTAAGCTTCATTTTTCTCAAGTTGCTCAGTATTTAGCTTGTTGCCCAGGAGCTGGGGATGCAGCACAGAGGGACAGTGCTTGCCTGCCACTTCTTCGAGGCCTGAGCACTGCACATGTAGATAAGTGTTTCACTCAAAGGAAGTATCTTGGCAAAACGCACTCCCAGTCCAAAGCGCTCTCTGCTCCTTCACGCACTTCCTGCCAGCTCATTTGCCGCTTTAAAGAAAACTACAAGAACTAAAATTCTGCTGTCTTAGGCTGTCTCCTGGCACACCTTGCTAGAGCCTGACAGGCACACGAAAGTCTGCCTCTCATGGACTCCTCCGCTTTCAGTTAATTCTTACTTGAATTTTGGAAAATGGGAGTGGTGGCTAATGTGCTTTTTCTTAACCCAGATGTGGAATGAGCTTGCTGACTGGTTTCCCATGAAGGCTTGTGACTGGCGGGCCAGGGCCGGATGAGGGGAGAGCTGGATCCCATCTCAAAACCCATGTGAGCCTCCTGGCTCCCAGGCACCTCCCCACCTCCCTCCAAGGTCCACCCTCCCTGGCCTGAAGTCCACTCACCACACTGTGAGCTCCACTACCACTAGGCATTTTCATTTGTCATGCAAAATGGGCTCTAGGACATTTTGCACATCTTTTTTGAACAGCTTACCAGGCTGCTGGGTTCATTGACTAAATATGAAAAACGTAAATTTATAAAAACAATGTGATATAATAAGCAAATTCATGGTAGCATGTCCATGCACATACAACATGGGTAGACAGTGTTTCTGGAGTTTAGGCTCTCAGGACTCCCTTATGGACATGCCGATGCTACTTGGCTGCTGGGACTGTACTCCTCCTGGCCCATAGCTGGACTCTGGTGTCCACTTAGGACCTAGACAGTGAGGCCCAAGGTGTGTAGAACAAAACCAGGAAGAGGCACAGAACAACATGGAGCCAGGATCCAAGAGAGCCCAGGAAACTGGGGTCACGGCCAGGCCCACAGTGCTCCACTCTTACAAGGGGGCTTGAGCAGCGGACTGCCCAATGGGGGCAGCAACTGGGACTTAGTAGTCAGAGCAAATCGTAGGGTTGTTAGTTGGTTGTGAGTGAGGAAATGGAGTAAGTGTGTTCTTGGGTGGCCCAGAATACAGAACTGGAGACAATGGTGTCAGTAACAGGAAGGGGATTCTGGCAGGCCCAGCTGTCCGCTCATGGATCCTACCACCTCGGGAAATCATTTTAGAGAGACCGTGCAGGGGTGCCTGTCATGCTAGCTGGGACATTCAGGGTCCTTGCTAGGCTAACAGATGGAGGAAGAGGAGAAGCCTGAGTGAGAAGCTCAGGCTGCCACTGTCTACATCCACCACTGATCATGATGTCTATCCAGGCTTAACCAAGGCCACCTGCAGAAGCACAGTGTCAGGAATCTTCTTGGCTAAGGCTTGGTGAGCAATTCTACTGGAATCTGTACCACTCTTCTAAGTTCAGGGACAATTGGGGCACGGAACAACTCCAGAAAGCCATATACCCTGTTTGCATTTCAAAGAAGAATAAAAACCAGATCCAAAGGAGAATGAACCCAGGTCCAGAGACACTCTGACATATGTGCTACTATCCCAAAGGGACCTTCCTCTCCTTTTCTCCACTTGATCTTAGCCAAAAGGCCGAGAAGCGATCTTCCTCTCCTTTTCTCAAGGAGACTGTTTGGGCAGGATGGGTTTCTCTCCAGCTCTCAGAGGATACCACACTGTCTGTTCCAGATGACCTGCTGGACTGGTCATTCTTACGTTCGCCTCTGTACTGCAAGGAGCACACTCAGCCCCCGTTCCTGCCATCTGCCTCTCATCACACCACCCCAGGAGTCACCAATGGAAGAAAGAACAATCTGTCGTCCAACCCAAGCTCTCGAGACCAGAGCTGTGTGAAGCGCAGGGCGTCCCAACCCTCTGTGGATGCAGCTGGGCAGCACCAGTGCCAAGGCTGGGCAGACTAGGAGTGTCCGTGGCTCTGGTGCTGAAAGCATCCTCACCACAGACTCCACTGGAGAAGCAAGCACAGGTCATTCATTCACACTGTACCTGCATCAGTTTTAAGTGAGACAGAAGGGTGGAAAATAGGGTGAGAGGGCTGCTTCTGCAGGGAGGGTTGGGGTTAAGAGGCAGGAGTTCTGTGGGCACAGGCATGTTGGTCTTGGTGGTGCGCTGTCACAGGATTTACATCAGTTACAGAGGAGATTCAAGGATGTGGAAAGCTTTCATTGATTCCCCCTGAAGCTGTTAACAGCTAACTTCCCTTCTTTTTTCTTTCTATCCTCTGACATATAACAAAAGTGAAACAACTCAGAATTGTCCTCTGTTAGTCATTTTCTCCATACTAGGACAAAACATGGAACATCTGCAACTTAGGAGAGTGGCATGGTTCCATCCATGGTCATCTGGTTCCAAGGCAGAAACAACCTGGCAGAATGATGCTGCCTTGGAAGAAGCCGCTCATGCACACTGGCCAGAAAAGAGAGCTGGGCATGAGGACAAGAAAACTACTCTCTCCAAGCCACACCGCCAGCCGCCCCTCACAGCTTGGTATGCCACAGGGACGTGCACAGTGTTCCGTGATCCAATCAACTTCCCAACACATGGAACTGTTGGGAGACATTTTAGATCTAAACCGCAGCATTGCGCTTTGTCACAGCATACATCTAGTTCAGGAGAACAGAAAAAGTCACTCCAAAATACAAAGAATTGCTGAGCTGAAGGTGAATAAAGTGTGGAGGCAGGAAGCGCTCTGCCTCCTCCCCTGGCCTGAGGTCAGGACACAGACTTAAAGAGACAGGCGCCTGCCTCCCTGCTGTGCCCAGAGGAGTAAAGACTGCACAGAAGACAGCTCAGAGCTCAGGCTCCAGGTGGAGCCCAGGAATCCCCACAGCAAGCCTGCCTACAGCCTCCACCTGTCATCCACACGCGCACCTCGGCTCCACCCTGGACACCCAGAGCCTGTCCTCTGCTCGTCCCCGCTCCAAAGCAAGCTCTTCCTTGCGATGCCAGGTACACATGAGCGGGGGTGCAAGGCCACTTGGAGAGCCACCCCCTGGGTGTCTCTGTGACGTAAGCTTCCGGGTGCTGTTTCTCATCAATCTGTCTTCCAAAGCAGGGATCTCGCCTACTAAAACCGTGTGGCCGCTTTCTTCCTCTCTACCAGCAGCCTCATGAGCAGCCCCCTTCCATGTGGAAATGCTCGCCTTGAACCCCACTTCCAGGCCCCATGGAGTGGGGTGGAGCGGAGCTCCCTTCCCGAGGGGCCCGTGAGCTCCACGACGGCGCTCGGCAAGTCCCTTCCGTGGCTTTCCAGGCTGGAGAAGCTGCATGTCCAGATCCCTGATCAAAAGTCTCTTCTAAGTAGAACTTAGGTGAACAAAAATTACTGTTCTTCCTCTACAATAATCATAGCACCAGACAGCAGTCATATTCTGTCAAAGTTTATGGTTTCACTTCTTAAATTATAGTTATCAACCAAAGCATTGAGAAACACATTCAAAACCTCAGCTTTACACAGTATTGCATTTGAAGAACAAAATCTTCAAGCCTTAAAATGTGGATAGAATAATTTAAAGGATGAAGAAAGTACCCATAAAGCATTAGACGTCAGCATCTATTTGATATAATGAAGAACGTTCAAGCATGCAATATTCAGTACCGTCAAAAATTAATCATCTCTGTGAGCATACGCTGTGTCCCAATGACAAAGACAGCTCTGCTTACCTCACTGGGATATTGCCACAGAACAAAGCATCACCAGATTCTAGACTCGCACACAAAAAATCCAACGAGTCCTTTAATTTGTACATGCTGAAATTTTGTCTTTTGACCCA